TCACAATTTTCGCCGCAAATTGCTGTCGGGGAAAAGAAGTTCAAACATTTGTCCAAAGAGCCCGGCAAAGGACGGACCTGGTGCGGGTCCGGGTCCGGGTCCGGGTGAGGCGTTGTTCAACAACAATTGAATTGCAGTTGCTGGCCGTGCCTGGCGTGACAAGAGTGCAAGAAGTGCCAAAGGGAAGCCGAGGGCAGACCAGCGGGGATTACGGAATTGTTGGGTTGTGGAATTGTGGGATTGGAAGTGGTGCTAACCGAAACCGCGTCAAATGCGTGATTCAAAGCGGCGACAGCTACATCCACAGAGTCATGGAGGAAAATAAAGCAAGCCAAGAAGGCTAAGACGAATTAGGGATACATTTCTGTCATCCATGGAGAATCATGGCTACATTTATACCAGTAATAAGACTTTTTTAATTCATTGGAACTTACAAATGATTGTCATCAACTGTTATTGGGGTTACAACAATCCCTGACAGCTCGTTTTTCGTATTAACCAATTTTTAATTTGCTTAAAAAACAGTTCTCAGATGGTCTAACATACTATTATAAGCATTTGGATGTATCTTAGATAAATATGTTGTATGGTAGCATATTTGAAAACCGAAGCCTTTAAATATTATGTAATATTCAGAGACTACCGAAGTTGCGAAGAAACACGAAGAACAACACCTCCACCACTTTATGTCCCCGACCAACTCAATGAAAACTCTGATATACCCTTCTCGGGATTTGCCAAATAGCACAAAACAATGACTCCACTCCACTTTCTTTGGCGTGGAGTTTGCTGCGTCAATGAACTTCCGTTCCGCTGGGTGTTTCTGGTGCTGCTGCCGGCAGAAAGGAGTTCTCCTTTTGGGCTGTTTGTGTTTGTTCTATAAATTTTCAGGCAATTTGCAGAAGCCACGAGAGCCGATGCTTGGCTAATGTAGCACATGATTTATAATATTTCGAATGACAGCAGCTCCTGGCAAAAAAGATCTCTGCTCTCACGGAAAGCGTAAAAAGGATTTCTGGGCATGTTCTTGGCCAAAAACTTTCTGCGAGGGGTTTCGTCCTCGTCTTCGTCCTCGACCGGGTTCTTGGTTTTCATTTGCCGTCTGACTGCCAGTAAATATATGCTAAATAGGCTTTTTGACATTCTACCTGTTTCCCTGTTTGTCTGTCTGTCTCTCCGTCTGGGTTCTGGCTGAGGTGGGTCTGAAGATAGGTCCCAGGATGAGGCCCAGAGGCTGGGGTCGCGGCTGATACCGGCCAGCTGGAGGGAAGGACTGGTGCCAGGCGTGTGGTATATCCAGTTACATTTCATTAAATTTTATTTTTACGTGCCGTCTGCTCTGTCCTCCTGCCTCCTGCCACCTGCCTTGTGGCATTTTCAAGCCATTGTGTGCGTCGTGTGCGTGTCCTTAAGCGGAAACTTCGACAGGAAACACCTGATTCGTAAAATATTGAAAAAGTTTTCTTATTTTTTCCCCTCTTTGATTCCTCGAGCTCAGCTCTTTTGGGAGGCTGATGTCTGTTGCCCTTCTGCTACTTTGGGTACAGTCGTACTTTCATTGAATTTGTGCGAAAGTTCAGCTGGATCTGGATACAATCGGGCAACTGGCTTACTACACTCACCATCGTGGGTCTACAGCCTCATCTATGATCGGTCCACGAGCTCAGGGAAAGCTCGCAAAGGTTCCAATTCCAATCTATCTGCATCGTTTGGTAATCCAAGCGTTTGTCAGAGCATCTGGATTTCCTCGAGACTCGATTACCGCCTTCTTTTATAAGCCAAAAGTTGCTGTTTGTGCTGTTGTTGATGTGAAATTATTGCAAAATAAATGCAAATTGAATTTCTCATGCATAATTTGCTTAGAACTTGGGCAAGAGAAACATGAACCCCAAAGTTACAGCCTGACGCGATTCGATGCCAACTTTGATGTATCTTGTGGGTGTTTCCTGCCTCTTGTTCCTTCCATCTGGGAGGATGGAAATGTGTTTTGAATTTTAATGCGACATGTGTGCAATGATGCGTTTCTAATCGAATGGGAAATGGTCCGAATAGTCCGTTAGGACTGTGACGATGGTCTCATCCTGGCCTCAACCGATGGTGTCATCGAGGGTCTAATTGGAGGAGACCCAAAGCGGACTTCATTAGCTCCTCCCAGTGATCATCCACTCGAAGATGGCACCTCACGTGTGTGTATTTGTATTTCAGCACGTTTCTCATATTTATTTTGATTAATGTCCACTTATCCACTTGCCACCAGCAATTTCAATCGTCCTCAACTTGGACTATTCCACGGAGCTGCACGTGCTGCCCAAAAAACCAAGCAGAGAATCCCAAGGAAGAAGTTGAACAGAGGAGAGCGCAGGAATTGTCTATTGGCCAGTTGGCAGAGACAGCAATTGATGTGCCGCACACTTTTCTCGACCTTTGCACCTGGCCCAACGCCCAACGCTTAAGGCCCAAGACCCAAGCCCCACGGCCCATAGTCCTCGGACCACGTAGACATCTCAACCTTGCCATCTGACCCAGTCTTCCCCTGACTTCAGTGCTAGTCCCAGTTTCAGTTCCTGCCCTGCCCTGGCATCAGTTGCACTGAGCTGTGTACGTGTTCGCACTTGGTGCGCACGTGACTACTAAAGCCAAATTTATTGAATATTTGCCATTGGCCATTTGATTTCTTATTAACATGAGGACCCTGAGGCCAGGCAGGGACAGATACACAGAGACTGAGATAGAGATGGATCCAGAACTACAGCCACAGCCATGGCCAGATACGTAGTCTTGGCCAGAGCTTTAATCCCTGCTGCGTATGCTAATTTAAAGTCCACAAGCCATGCGGGAAAACAAGCTGCGAAAGCTACTTACATAATTAAATAGAGCTACTATGCGGCACCCACACACTCACCCACTCACACACGGCAGCCCAGAGCCGGCTCTGTGCGGGATTTGCGCGCTGGGGCGCGCCAGAGCATTTGGCATTTATCTCTCATCATATGCGGCTCCTCCTGGTTATGCTCGTTGGCGACCTTTAACAGTCAAGCCGTAGCGCCAGCGCCAGATACACTAGTCCCCAAGCCCCAGTCGTCAGTCATCCCACAGTGACTCCGTCATCCAAAAGGCCAAGTGAAACATGTAAGGCCATTCCAACCTACCTATACCCTTCTTGTGAAAATAGAACTAAACCTTCAGGTTTCAATTCACAAGCAAGTAGTCAAAAAGTCTGCAGCTGAAACCTGAAGGTTTGGTTCGTTTTTCGCTAAATTATCCTGTAAGCAGTGCGGCGTTTATTTGCCAGTTGGAATTTTCCCGAAAGTTCGTTCTTACTACGCCCATTTTACGTTTTGTGCCCGTATGTCCGCCCAACTACATAAAAAAGTGTAGATTATCTCCAATTAGCCAATAAATATCTATTATTAGTGCGGACCCATTTTTGGAAGGGAATCAGGGGCCAGATCAAAGGCTACGAGTGTAGTGCACGAATAACTTGAAGAATGCCATAGAGGAGATTACGGCGGATTCCAGTGAAATCAAAGTTTTCTTCATAACTGACATGCCACACTTTTTCGCACTTTATGACATACAGGGCATGGAAAACACTAGCTCGCAAACTGGCAACTGCAACTACAACTCTTTAGTTGCTGGAATATACATACGCACAGGCATGAACCCGTCACGTATATAAATATAAAGTTTGAAATAGTTTATACATGCATATGTATGTATATTTATATGATTTTTCATGTTTTTATATGGCGAACGAAAAATGTTTCTGCAGCGTTGCACACGCAGACGACATTTGAGGATGACACTTCCGTGTTATCTGCACCTATGGAACTGGGTTAATGTGGCAACTGACGGCGAGAACAGCAAAGTTTGTTGAATGCTCGTACTCATGGTGTGACCCCAAAATTTCGCCACTAATGTCCTCGAACTCTGTGGTGCCCGCTCCTCTAGTTCTAGGCCCCGGTTCGTCTGAGAGTGCGGCCCACTCTGGCATTTGATGTGTTAATCATGCGTGAAATTAATTCGTTCCACAATGTCTCATTAGTCTGCATTAACTGGAGCGGCCAAGCGGTCAGGCCAACAAGGACACAGCTTAGCCGAGGACACAGAACATGGCCAGGGCCACACACACACACTCATACTACTATTCGTACTCGTAGTCCTGGCTCATATATTATTAAGTTAATCCCAAGCCATCGTCTCTCCATCGTCGCTCTCGGTGCGCTCAAGTGCTTAAAATTAAATAATTAATTAAACTTCAGTCTCAGAGCGGCACGACGACTACTGAATGGGTAAGAAGTCGGCAGTCAGCAGTCAGCAGTCGGCTCCGCTCCTGTGAAGCTATCTCTCCCCACATACACGGACAGCTATAACTGTATTTGTATCTGTAACTGAAACCGTATTTGTATTTGTATCTGTAACTGCTACCGAATCGCCTTGCTGGCTTGTATCACAATGCCAGTCACATCTGCGCTTAGCAGCTCATGAATATCGTATTAACTTTTACTTTTCGTGCCGCCACTGTGTCTACATGTTTGGTTTTTGGCTTTTCGCTTTTGCCACAGGTTACCAGTTGCGGGATGGGCGTGTCGGGCTCCTACAGAGGGTGAAGGGTGAGTGGGCAGCCGGTTTCAGGCATCGCGGATGCCACGGCGACAGTTAAGCGACAGCTCTAACTCCTGCTCCATCGCCAGACAAAGTCTAAGTTGTCGCTGATGGTTCAATCACAGTCGTCGGGCTTCCTGCATAATGAACAAGTGCATGTCGCGGTCGCTGACATTCCTGTCGTGGCAATCAGCTTTTGGCTTACCAATAGCTCTGAGCTATTTTTAGAGTACCAGTAGCAAAACATTGCAATTAAATGGTATTAATGGTAGCAATGCCAGTTTTGCTCTGCTAACTTAAGCCCCTGATAGATGTTCCAGCTCTCGTCAACCCAATATCATTGGATCGCAGCAGAATGTGATAGTTGTCTTTTAATTGGAAATTAAATACAAATTCTATATGCTGGATCTAAATTTTTCACAGTCTGCAATATTTTCTTTGATGTCCTCCCTTAGTTCATCTAGCTTCTTTCCTAAAGAGTCTAGTCTGTCTTCCAGCTCGTCTTGGGCGCGAAAAATGTCTTCCAATAGTTTCTTTGCATCGTCAATCGACGTCTCATCGGTGACAATGGATTCCTGATCTGCCTCCATATTGGTAATGTCTTCGAATACTCCGTTATTTGAATGATATGTTTCAGGTGATGATGATGACAATAACGTTAGGTCCGATATGTCTGCCAGATTTACCCGACCTTCAGCGACGGCTTCGGAGCTGTCGGAGCTGACCTCAAAATCTGATATCTCGATTGAACTTGTGTACGGCGATTCGAAGATGTCCTGGTCGCTCTCCAGTGGCGATCCTTCATCGTCGTATTGGTCCTCGACTTCGAGCCCTTCGTTGAGGACCTCGTCCAATGCTGCGTCTAGAGCATCCTGGAATTCGAGTTCAGCTCCGTCCACATTGGGCACTGGGAAGTGGAATACTGGATCTTCGTCGTAGTCCAGCTCGTCCTCGAACCATTCAGCAGGGATATCAAACGACGGCATCTTCAGTCAACAAAAGTTCGTCACAATTTGTAGATTATCAGTCTAACTCAAATCGGTTGGATTATCGAAAAATATTTTTAAAATATTACTCACTTTGATACTGGCGAATGTCTCGCTTCTCAGCAGGATTAAATATTGTTCTAGATTTCTATTGACACTTAGATCGTACAAATTCAACTAAAGCACGGCATACCTAGATCCACCCAAGTGAAAAATTTGTTTAGTTCTAGGCAGAACTGGCACACTAGATCGCATCTCCCAACTTTTATGTTTATGTTTATCTTTAGCTTTAGTATTCGTATTTTCGTATCTTGAAATTCTACCATCTACCTATCTTGAAATTCTTCTTAATAAAATCAAGTAATTGAAATGACCTGGGGGAGCACAGTAGGATGCATACATAATTACATATTTATGTCGGGAAAATCAGCTTTGCAACCAAAGTAAGATTATTATAGTTTGGTTTATTCTAAGTAAGAAGCTTTTGACTAAACCGATTGTACAGTCTTTGTACAGCTAGAGACAACGACAGAGGAAATACAGTGTGTGGACAGGGGACAGGGGACAGGGGACAGGGGACACACCTGCTGTCGTCTCAATTTTATGACCAGCCTCCTTCTCTCTGCCCAATTTCCGAAGTGTAAAACAAAGAAAGAAGATGATTTATGCGCTCGCTAAAAACTTTGCGGTTTGCTCATACTTTTTCCCGCTCTCTTTTTTCAGCCGCCGTTGTCTTTCGGGAGTGGGCGTGACCAAGTGCAGCTGGAGCAGGACCAAGGATCAACGCTGAGCGGTGTGGGAGCAATCTCTATAAAAGCGCAGCCAGTACGAGTACTTCACACGCCACACGCCGCATTCCATACACCACACTCTATACTCTAAATTCCATAAGAGGGAACTCCGCTGCGTACTCATGGCCATGCCACATACAACATCCCAATTATGAAGTTGGACCGCCTTCCTGTTGGATTGTGTGTTGAGTGTGGGGTCTCGGGGCAATGTGAGTATGGAGTCTGGCTTCTGGGATCTGTGGGGAGGGAGTTTTGGCAAATGCTGCCTGCAGGTCACGTAGCGCAAATAATGAACTTGGGTCTGGTGACTGCAACCGAACGCCAACGCTGGAGACCGTCCACCATCCCAGCATCCCAGTATCGGAGCATCGGGAATCCAGCATCTGGCGCAGTTTGTTTTGGCCAGCAATGGGCTGAAGGCCCACAGGAGGTGGATACAGGGATACTCGTACTCTCAGCGACGGTTAAACGCCCGCTTTAATGCCAACAACGATGGACCATTGGAAATGATTACGGGTTACTGATTACTGCTCGGGGGTGGGGTAGAGTCGTTGAGGTTGGGACTAGGATTCCGATTGCGATGCGGATGCGGATGAGGGTGGGGGGAAAGGGATGGCGATGGGTATTGATGGAGGCACACAATAATCGGAGAATGGACTGGATTGAGGATAAATCTACTGAGAATTTTTGTGGATTAGGGATAAGTATCATGGGTAAGTGGGAGAGGATGTGCCAGAAGAAAATGGAAAGCTAAGCAAGACATAACAATTAGCTTTGGTCAGTGCTGATTGTTTCAAATCTGTAAGCTCTAGTTGATTTAATGAAGTTTTTTGTTTTTCCTTATTATAGAAGGTGTTTTTTTTTGTATTTCTTCTTCATTGCATTCATAACTCGGTACTTTACGACCTCAATACCGTATCACAGCCCTGAAGCACACCCAAAAGCCACCATAGAAGTAGAAGGGAAGTAAGTCTGATGCCCATTCCTGACATCAAGTATCATATCATTCGCGCCACAGTAATCAGCTACAGCAGGCACTTTATGGCCCGCTTCTGAACTCCCCGATCAGGGGCATTATTGGCCATCAAAATCACCAAACTGTCATTAGTGCGGACATCAGTGAATGCCACATATTCAATTTGCTCCCATATTGATTGACTAATTGAGCAATCTTGATAATTTGACTGACTGACTGACTATCCCGACCCCGCTCGCTCACCCACAGACCCCGTTGTACCATTCATAATTCAGCAAAATTATACACACGCCACGAGTATATGCAGGTTTCAATCAACAAATTAACCTCAAGAATTGACCGCAATATTTGTTTAGACTGTTTGTGCGTGTGTACGATGTTCGATGTTCATTATGGCCAGGTCGAGGGGACTGGGTGGGCAATGAGCGTGCGTGCCCAGTGGCAGGCCAATGGTCGGCCAACCAATTGACGAAATCAAAATGCTTAATTAATAGATTAAAACTGAATTATGTTGGCCAACTCTACTGTTCCATAGCTCCATCGCTCCACCTCTTCGGCACTCTCTTGGCCCTGTCAATCTATCAGTCATTCAATTGAAACGTAAATAATAATTTTGATATTGGAACAAAGTTACCAGCTACAACTACGAACAATACTCGAACTATTCAAATCAAATGAAGTCGGACCCGCACACACATATAGATATAGCGGGAGGAGGGAGCGGAGGGGGAGTGACTATGAATATAATTACAGGCAATTGTTGCCACTGAATTGAAGTTGGTGCAGTGGGCTCTGCACATAGGCAGCCCTCTCCGCCACTACTCCGCTCCCTAATAACATGCCGACCACAATGTAATGGCAGGCAGCAAAGTGCTCTTCAAGTGCTCGCATTGCTGCCTGGGAAATGCTAAATGGAAATTGAGTGTTCCATTGCTGTATTTCTCTCCACCTTAACCTCCAGCTCCATCTCTGTCTTCTTCTATAAGTTGATATTTCATGAAACTGTCTTCCAGTCAACGAATCTTAATTAAAATACACATATTCCTCATTTGACTCAACTTTGGAATCGATAAAGCAGTGCCTGTAGCATTGGTTCAACGCATACGAAGATGAAGTCTCTGTTCAGATACTATCCTTCTTCTCTAAAGGAATCATACAATTGTATTTAGAGTTTTTTTTTTAATTTTAAATCACGATTTATAAAGACACAATTTTAGGGTATTGAAATGTTTCCTTCTTCCTTTGATTTTCTTTTACTCAGCTAAATTCGATAAGTACATTATTAAATGTTATTTTAATGGCTGAACGGATATATATATGTATGCGATAGCAATCCCCTCCCCATATATCAATAGATACCCACGTGCTCCGTTCATATTTGGGTAATTAGCAAATGTTTGTAGTGGAAATCAAACGAATGGGCGAGTAGCTGGAATTGGGGATAATTTCCACAGATATGTATGTACATATATCCAACCAAATAAATGTCAGAGCAATCAGCTTGTGTGTGTGTGTACAAACAGTGGACTGATTCTGGTGGAGTGAGTTCTTTTTTGGCAGATGGATAGTTGATGGCCTCCGGCTATGCGAACTACAATCACGCCAATAAATATTCAACATGAAATTGCACACACATAAACAAACAGAGAGAGGGCAGAGAGGAATGTGTGTCTGTATGTGAGGCAATTTTGCATTCCTAATGCGACAAGCCAAAAAAGAATTCATAACAAATTTACAAAAATACATAACGACACATAAATAAAATCCCCAAGCAGCTATGAGTACCTACCTCCCTTCCTTCCGTCCTTTGCAACCGCAAAAATGTCAAAAATATTCTATATACATATAGAAATATATACACAGTGGAAAAAGAGTATCGTTTGTGGAGGTTTTTTCAGTTAAACCGAAATTGTGTCTTTAAAATCCGTTTAAATAGTCGAAATTAACACTTCTACGTCGAAAATAATAGATATATTGTTTCAAAAATATACATTGATGAATTCGATATATATATATCAAATTATTTAATAATCAATTATGTTACATTGTTATTCAACGGAATTGAAAATTCGGAATTAAATTATTTGAATAGTCGTATTGAATATCCATTGGGTGTACAATTTATTTAAATGGCTTTGTTTTCTCTGAGTGTATATACAAATTCGTATGTACATATTTAGGAAGAAAAACAACGCGCGTTACGGCTGTCCAAGTTATGGACGGATGACTACGAGGGGGCAAGGGCCAGGATGAGGAGCTGGGCTTGGATGTGGCCCCTCCCGGCACAAATCAATTGGATTAGAAAATTGTCAACGACAATGTCATCGGGGAAGAGGAATAGGAAGAGGTAGGGGTGGTGCGGTGAGGAGTGGCAGAGTGGCGGCGTGGAGTGGTGTTTGTGTGGCGCTGGAGGCAAGGACGCCGGCAAGACGACGCTGAAAATGTTGCAGCTTACATTGATAAATTATGGATAAAAGCGACAAGCAGCCAGCTACAACGATAACAAATCGAATAAATATTTATGAAACTAATGAAATGACATCAGCGGGATTTGCTACCCACATATCGGAGTATCTGTGTATCTGTGTATTTTTGTATCTTTGTGTTCTTGTATCGGAGTAACTTGGTATCGCTGGCGGTGCTCGTTTATGTTAATCTGTGTGCGTTTTGAGGGCGGAATGTGTGAATAGGACGCACCTTAAGGACGAAACAGGATCATAATCACAATGATAGGCACCGAGACGATGATATTTTGATGATGGAGATGATGAAGTTCCCTCATATACGACTACGTACGACTAGGAAAACCTTTTAGAATGTTAATGACTTCTGAGAGTTTCCCCACCCCGCATTCCGAAGAAAAGGATACGGAAAAGGAAAAAGCCAACCATGATGTAATATCTTCGCTGGCTGAAGGAATATTTTTATTGCTCTTGTTTCTCCGGCTCGAGGAGTCGTTAAAAACACAAGCCATGACAAGGCACGAAAAATGTTTTCTTTCCTGGTGCCCAAAAGTTTCAGCCACAGAAAAAGGATTAAATTTTTGGGGGAAGCTCGGTTTATTGGGATAATTAAAATATGAATAGGCACGCACTAGTGCGACAAAGACAGGGACTTTGATAGACAGACAGACAGACAGAGAGTGAGAGAGAGAGGGAGTGAGAGAGAGAAGAGAAAGAGAGGGAAATGGTTGGCGTGACATTTCTATTATTTACTTATCATAATTGAATATTTTTGTTGTGCATTGCAAATTGCATTCTTTGCCCCCAAACAATTCAATGCCCTTTGTTTCGTAATTGAAATTTATTGAATTTTTTCCACTCATCGTTTATTTGTGTCTG